GTTGTTGCGTTGCGTCCACAACCAGCTAGAGGCCCTTTCGGCCACCTCTCCCAGTTTTTTGAGTGCCCGTTTCCGTTCATTACCGCGCAATCCTAACTCTTTAACCACATTGTAGAGCGAAGTGGAAACGAGGCCTCTCGCTCCCACTTCGACGGCAAATACCCGCACTGTGTAAGCCTCGTTTCTCCTCAAACCGGCTGCTAAATCACTGTATTTCTCGAGCTTATACAAATGATTCTCCTCCATCCGCGACTCAAACGGGACCGTCAACTCAATCAGGATGAGTTGCCGTTTTTGCGCAGAATGGAGAACGATGTCCGGTCGCAGGCCGGTTTTTACGGATCAACTCGGGATACCGTTCATGTCCTGGCAGATCAACCGCCAGTAACCAGTCCCTCGCAGAGTCTAGTACAGATGGAGCGAATGCGTTTTTTGTTGACCTTACGATTGGAACCTGCCCAGCCTTGAGGAAAACGAATGGGGGCGATACTAGAACTGGCTCTGGCGTTAGCCCTCATTCTAGCCTGGTCGACAACGGCTGCTAACTCCTTTAGCACCTTGTTGTGGCGCCAGGTATAGCGGCCTTGACCTAGAGCTTTCCTGCACGCGGACAGGACGTGCTCAAGAGTTTGCTTTGATTTGCACAACGGGCAAGTCGGATCGTTGGTCGCAGACCATTTAACCATGTTAACACCGGACGGTAATACATCGTACGCCGAACGAACGATAAAGCTCAGTCGCAGCGGGGTCATCCGCCAGATCTCACCCCATGTGAGTATTCTCGGCAATGCGCTCTCCAGGCTGACCCAATGGCCCTGCTGCGACTGTTGGGCTGCTTTCTGGACCCGAACCTCGTTTTCGTTGTCCCTCACCGTTTGTATCACCATGTCTCGGCGCTCTTTGGCTGAGGCCTTTTGACCACCAATTGACCTTCCCGTGCCCCTAGGCCTCGACGGTCGGTTTGTGTGTAACCCATTACCTCCTTCAATTTAGTGCGTTCTGAGCAGATTCAATTGCATCGAGGACTCTCCACTTCTGACCAGTCTTTAGAGCGGGCTGGACAGCGATGACATTTGGGTCTGAGGACTCACGCAAAAGCATGGCGAGCCTAACTTTGCCGACTTTAAACTCTCTTCGGTTATCGACTTGAACGGAAGTACCAGCTTAGCCTGTTTGCAATACAGAGCCACGTCGGTCAGACAAGGCGGTGCTCCAATCCACTTTCTTAAGGCTGTATTGATTTTCTTTTCCATGGCTTCAACTGCAGTCATCGTCACCTCGTAGACTAGCAGTGGCCATAGAAGCTTCGGAATCAACATGAATTGGAGACACCATACCTTGAATTTTCCGATCAGCCTGCATCGCTCGATCGCGAGCAGGCCTGTAGCCAGTGACTCATGTATTCGCCGGACTTCCGCTCTGTCAGATAACTTCGAATCGTAGACGCGACCGAGGCTCTTCACCGGTTCCTCCAGAACCGTAGGGATCTTGTTCCTTGCCACCGTAAAACTGGTCGCCGAAACCTTGCCCTTATGGATTGACAGACTCCTCGACTTCTGCGGTTTGAACTGCATACCGCTCCATTGGACCACCGCGTCCAATCTATTCAGGATCGTGCGGGCAGACTCCTCGCTGCCCGTTATAATAGTCGTGTCATCCATAAATGCGCGCAGTGGCGGCAACCAGTGATCCCCTATTTGAAGGCCCAGTCCGTAGCCGGCCGCCCCGTCTAATAAGATCTGCATTGCCATGACAAACAGTATGGGTGAGATCGTACACCCCATAGCTATCCCAATCTGCAACTCAGTCCACCTCGTGGTAAACGTCGAGGTAGAGAAGCGCAAAGCGAACTTAGAGAAATATTGCTCGACCATTTGAATGATCTGTGTCGGTACGTGAAACATGCGAAGGGCTCGCCACAGAAGCCTATGGGGGACTGCCCCGTAGGCGTTGGCTAAGTCCAACCATATAACGTGCAAATCGGTTCTCTCATGCTTGGCTCTCTGGATAGCCTCCCAGATCATGGTCGCGTGTTCAAGGCACCCAGGAACGCCTGGGATACCACCCTTCTGAACACTCGTATCTATGTACTTGTTAGTCATCAGATACTGTGTGAGCCGGCGAGCCATGACTGAGAAGAATATCTTACCCTCAACATTCAACAGCGAGATGGGCCTGAATTGGGAAAGACTCTTCGAGTCCTGCTCTTTGGGAATGTAGACCCCATTTGCCTTTGACCACTCTGGACATATGTGATTGCGGATCCACGCTTGTCTCAACAAGATGTGAAGCATTTTTAGGATTTTCGGGCAACGCTTGTAAAGAACGTACGGAACACCGTTCGGACCTGGGGCAGACTTGCCGCTGGCTTTTTTCACAACGTCCTCAACCTCAGACCAAAGGGGAGGTACCAGTTTAAATGGTACCTTCGGCACCGAAGGCTGTTTAAGACCGCTAAGGATCTCTGGATTGTCATCGAGAGGCTCTCTCCTCTTTTTATCCGAGTACATCTTGCGTAGATGTAGCTCTAGTTCTTCCTGACTGACAACCAGAGTCCCAGACTTCGGTTGCTCGAATAGACCTCGGGCAAACTGATACGGGTCCCTAAAGAATTTCTCTCGCTCCCTTTTGGTTCTACGTCTGTTGTTACAGAAACGCTCGGCGCGACAGAGGGCACTGTGTTTGTTCTTTAAGTGCACCCACACTTCGTACAGCCCCTCCCGTTCGCTGCCCGTAGCGGCTTTGAACCGTTTTCTGAGGGCATTCTTGTCTGCCCGACACTTCAGAATGTCCCTCTGCCTCCTGCTAGTGTTCTGCTTGGCACCCGGCTGTGCCTTTACTACTGTCCCGAACTCGCGGGAGCAGTGTTCATATATTACATCACCAAATTTAGTAAGCTTGTCGCCTAGCGACTTCTTGTTTAGAGTTTGTTTTAAGTACCTCACATAATGTAGCCTCCAACTTACACCACACCACCTTCTCGCTCGCAGGTGGAAACCTGATTCTGGAACGCACTTCTTCAGAAATCATCAAAGGTGCTCCTCCGCAGTCGACGTCATGGGCCTCTCCGGGCGAGTGGGGTTCCCCCTGCCCGTCGTTCCCTAACGACTCAGAAACTACCACAGGAGTAGTAGTTTTGCGACGGCGTTTACTGCGTGGAGCACCCTCGCATTTCATTCTTCCGGCATGCGTTCTCAGACCATGCAACCCCGTGAAGCTTTTCCCACATGTACAGAGCCAGCCCGGACGTTGGGCGAGTGTCTCAGTCCGGGGGCTAGCAAGGTCGTCAACGAGGGTATCAATCAGATTGGGCCCTTCATTCTCCCCCCCTTTCGGAGGGCCCTGGGGGCATATTTCATTGTGGTCGTACGAAATCGGAGGTATTATACTGTGATAATAATAATAAATGAAATCGTACTATTTCATATGTCTCTGTTTTTAAAAATGTCTTTTAACAATGCTCGTGTTTATTCTCAGACTATGAAAACTATGAAAACTCTGTACGCTATTGATTTTGTCTACGAAATATGAGCTATTTTTTGGTAAATCCGATAGATGCAGGTGTAACGCGAACAATAATAATGAGTTCTGAAAGAACATCTGCTACACAAGCATAGGATAATCCGTTTCCTCTGGTTGACAGGGATTTTATCCCCTCTCCTGTTTTAATTAGATGGGACGTACATGCCTCTTATTGGTATACGTGTAAAAACAGATGATGGCAGAAGTGAAATAGAAGTCAAAAACAGAACACGAATGGTCAAACTGTTGTCAACGGCATGTAAAAACAACTGACGTCAAGAAAAATTAACAACGCGTTACATAAGCACGGTCAAATGTTATGAGTACTTAACTGTGCTGTATGGCTCAGAAATCCTGACAATTGAACAAGTCATTATACAATCATATTTAGTCATCTGGAAATGTAGATATATAGAAGGAAATGCCGTATTTGATGGAAGCAAAAACAAACAAGTACAGAGGTTCTGAAAAGGTTAGGAAAACAAAAACAGTTGCTAAAGGAAATGAAAAGAGACAAATGAAATATTTAGGCCATATTAAAGGAAGAATACGCTTAAAATAATCATACAGGAGTGACACGTTAAATGGGGGGAAAAGGGGGGGGGGGGTAAGCAATGGACAGAGTTACAAATGGGATGATAAGATCAAAAGATGGACGAACAGAAGTCTGAGAGAGTGCACACCAAGGGCGACAAGCAGAGCGTGTTTGGTATCCATTGCGTCTAATCGTAAAGACGCGATTATTTAATTTATTTACCTTGTGTAACCGCTGTTTCTAGTCTCGGAAATGGATGCGGCTAGGGCGGGGGGAGGGGGGATCTGCAGCACAGAACCTGTGAAGACTGTACAGTGGTATCAATTAGATAGTGAGAGAAGTCTTAGCGCCAACACTGCTTCAACAAATTCGAAAAGAACAGTCCTGCACAAACTTATCAATACAAATTTAATTGGCATTACAGTGCCGGCTATTTTCAGGGCCCCAGGCAAACTGACTGACTGACTTTCTACCCCACTAGGACATCACACAAGCGATAAACACCCGATGACACAAAGTGCCACCATGCGGATGAGGATCACCGTGGAGAGGTCCCAGAAACCGCGTTCAGACAATTGGCCATATTGATGGCCTGCCTATATTGCGACCCCTGGCAAAAGCCAGAGTGGGGCTTCAAATAACAAAAAAATTACGTCCTAAACAGGACGTGAGGAATATACCCCAGGCAAACGCCAGGGTGGAACTTTAAATAACGAAAAATTGCACCATACAGATTTACTTGCCAGTCAGGACCTCCCGTATTATTTAAGAATAGTTGCAGATTGCACAATTTATCCGCCACAACCCAGTGGAGAGCTTCAGTGCTTGTGAATTTAATTTAATAATTACTTATCCGCATGTAAAATGTCAGCTCCTATTGTCTAGCACATCGTTTTTGTTTTCCTTGTTGAAATGGTTAAGATTTGATGTACTTTACTTGCAGTTGTTTATCAACAATGAGTTTGTCGATGCCAGAAACAAACGTACAATTCCTATCATCAACCCTTCCACAGAGGAAGTGATCTGTGAAGTCCAAGGCGCCGAGAAGGTGGGTTCTGTTATTATTTCTTCTTCTTCTTCTTCTTCTTCTTCTTCTTCTTCTTCTTCTTCTTCTTCTTCTTCTTTTCTTCTTCTTCTTTCTACTTCTTCTTTTTCTTCTTTGAATTTCCAAGGAAGCAGAGGCCCTTATCCAACTCAGGCCAAACTATTTGTAACCTTGTCAACGACTGGTCGGATCTTGCAGCTAGTTGTATGCAGAATAAGGTTCCAGGTCTCACCCAAACATTCGTTGGTCACCTCATACGGCTTGCATGGTAGGTTTCATGAGACTGTTCTGTTGCCATCCCGGGCATCTTCAATATTACATACTAGACAGTTAATTATTGTCTTGTGTGACAAAATGTCAGCGTTTCGGTAATAATATTTATGGATTTCTTTAGGATGAAATCCAGGAACTGCATGCTTGCCCATCTCTCTGCGTGCTTTTCTGGCTGTATCTTTGCTTCTCTCACTTTCTTTCTCTCTGTCTCTTACCCAGTCTGTAAAATATATACAACCTTGTCACTATATGTATGTATTCGTTTGTAATTGGACAATAGCGAGAGAGAGAGAGAGAGAGAGAGAGAGAGAGAGAGAGAGAGAGAGAGAGAGAGAGTAAAGATTGGTGTGTGTATTAGACAGCGAAAGTAGGGGCAGACTTTGTAGAATGTCAGAAATGGGTGTTGAATTTCTGCAAACGTTTGATGATGATCCACTGTTTGTCACTAAAGGAAGATGTGGATCTAGCTGTGGCTGCTGCAAGAGCAGCTTTCAAATTGGGCTCACCCTGGAGAACCCTGGACGCCTCCAAGAGAGGGTATCTGATCAACAAGTTTGCTTCTCTTCTGGAGCGGGACTTTGAGTATCTGGCTGTAAGTTTCACATCACTGAAAAATTGTCTGTGATGTCCTGTTGCATATGGATGCTAGAATAGTTAGTTCCCTTTTATTGTCATCCTGGCATTTTGACTGGCTTATTTTTGCTGCAAAGGTGGCATAGAGATTTAGTGTACACCTCTTACTCAGAAAGTGCTGGGTTAAGACACAGGGCACAGGATGGTTAGTGAACACAGGACACAAGTACTGATTAGTTGACACAAGTAATGGTTACTGGACACAAGTACTGGTTACTGGACACAAGTACTGGTTACTGGACACAAGTACTGGTTACTGGACACAAGTACTGGTTACTGGACACAAGTACTGGTTACTGGACACAAGTACTGGTTACTGGACACAAGTACTGGTTACTGGACACAAGTACTGGTTACTGGACACAAGTACTGGTTAGTGGACACAAGTACTGTTAGTTGTCACAAGTACTGGTTAGTGGGCACAACTACTGGTTAGTGGGCACAACTACTGGTTAGTGGGCACAACTACTGGTTAGTGGACACAACTACTGGTTAGTGGGCACAACTACTGGTTAATGGACACAAGTACTGGTTACAGGACACAAGTACTGGTTAGTGGACACAAGTACTGGTTAGTGGGCACAACTACTGGTTAGTGGGCACAACTACTGGTTAGTGGGCACAACTACTGGTTAGTGGACACAAGTACTGGTTAGTGGACACAAGTACTGGTTAGTGGGCACAACTACTGGTTAGTGGGCACAACTACTGGTTAGTGGGCACAACTACTGGTTAGTGGGCACAACTACTAGTTAGTGGGCACAAGTACTGGTTAGTGGGCACAACTACTGGTTAGTGGGCACAAGTACTGGTTAGTGGGCACAAGTACTGGTTAGTGGGCACAACTACTGGTTAGTGGACACAAGTACTGGTTAGTGGGCACAACTACTGGTTAGTGGACACAAGTACTGGTTAGTGGGCACAACTACTGGTTAGTGGGCACAAGTACTGGTTAGTGGGCACAACTACTGGTTAGTGGGCACAAGTACTGGTTAGTGGGCACAACTACTGGTTAGTGGGCACAACTACTGGTTAGTGGGCACAACTACTGGTTAGTTTGCACAACTACTGGTTAGTGGACACACTTACTGGTTAGTGGGCACAACTACTGGTTAGTTTGCACAACTACTGGTTAGTGGACACACCTACTGGTTAGTGGGCACAACTACTGGTTAGTGGGCACAACTACTGGTTAGTGGGCACAACTACTGGTTAGTGGGCACAACTACTGGTTAGTGGACACAAGTACTGGTTAGTGGACACAAGTACTGTTAGTGGACACAACTACTGGTTAGTGGGCACAACTACTGGTTAGTGGGCACAACTACTGGTTAGTGGGCACAACTACTGGTTAGTGGGCACAACTACTGGTTAGTGGGCACAGCTACTGGTTAGTGGGCACAACTACTGGTTAGTTTGCACAACTACTGGTTAGTGGACACACCTACTGGTTAGTGGACACAACTACTGGTTAGTGGACACAACTACTGGTTAGTGGGCACAACTACTGGTTAGTGGGCACAACTACTGGTTAGTGGGCACAACTACTGGTTAGTGGGCACAACTACTGGTTAGTTTGCACAACTACTGGTTAGTGGACACACCTACTGGTTAGTGGGCACAACTACTGGTTAGTTTGCACAACTACTGGTTCGTGGACACAACTACTGGTTAGTGGACACAACTACTGGTTAGTGGGCACAACTACTGGTTCGTGGTCACAACTACTGGTTAGTGGACACAACTACTGGTTAGTGGGCACAACTACTGGTTAGTGGTCACAAGTATTGGTTAGTGGACACAAGTACTGGTTAGTGGTCACAAGTATTGGTTAGTGGACACAAGTATTGGTTAGTGGACACAAGTATTGGTTAGTGGTCACAAGTATTGGTTAGTGGACACAAGTATTGGTTAGTGGTCACAAGTATTGGTTAGTGGACACAAGTATTGGTTAGTGGACACAAGTATTGGTTAGTGGTCACAACTACTGGTTAGTGGACACAACTATTGGTTAGTGGTCACAAGTATTGGTTAGTGGACACAAGTATTGGTTAGTGGTCACAAGTATTGGTTAGTGGACACAAGTATTGGTTAGTGGTCACAAGTATTGGTTAGTGGACACAAGTATTGGTTAGTGGACACAGGTATTGGTTAGTGGACACAAGTAGTGGTTAGTGGTCACAACTATTGGTTAGTGGTCACAAGTATTGGTTAGTGGACACAAGTATTGGTTAGTGGTCACAAGTATTGGTTAGTGGTCACAAGTATTGGTTAGTGGTCACAAGTATTGGTTAGTGGACACAAGTATTGGTTAGTGGTCACAAGTATTGGTTAGTGGACACAAGTATTGGTTAGTGGACACAGGTATTGGTTAGTGGACACAAGTAGTGGTTACTGGAAGCAATTAATGTTTAGAGAACACGAATGCTGTTTAGTGGACACAAGTACTTAGTAGTAGGAAAAGTACTGATGTAGATATAGCCAAAGGGCACACATACGTGTTAGAAAACAGAAATACTGGCTTGGATAACACAAATATCTTACATGACACACTACATGCACCAGGTATTATACTGTTATAATTCATATTCTACAGTCCCTGGAGACACTAAACAATGGCAAGACACTGACAGACGCCAGAGAAGATGTATCTGCCTCCATTGCTGTGTTCAAGTATTTTGCTGGCTGGTCAGATAAAGTCTGTGGCAAGACAATCCCCGTTGGTGGGTTTCTTTTCTCTATGTTTTATTTATTGGGATTCATTAAGTATGACAGACTGCCTGAACATCCGAGATTGACAGTGTTAATCCTTGTTTGGTTCCATGACCCGTTCTTTGGAGGGAAAAGAATAGACTTACTGTCTCCTTAATGAGCATGTCGTAAAATGTGACTTCTTCATTTTCTTCTACGTTCGCCTGAAGATGTAAATATTTTGTGTCCTTTTACAACATGGCTGCAATATTGTTGAATTAGGAATTGACATCACATCAGTCGGAACACCCCCATAAGAGCTCCGTCCCCATCTTCAGCAGCAAGAGAAGAGTTAAAATTCTGAAGGTACCAGCAACCCTCTGATTGTATATCCGTCTCGCCTTTCCTGAGTTTCGAGCGTCAGCCAGATCGCCTTGTAACTCCTCGCAGTGCCATTCTCCTCAGACCGTTATGATCTTTCTGTGCCTCGGCACTGTTCACTTGTTCTCAAAGGGCCCTCACAATATCCAGCTTGTCATATATCAGTTCACCACCAAGTGGTGCAGAACCAGCCAGTCTATCTGCCTGCTCATTTCCCAACACACCGGCGTGACCCTGGCAAAAATATCCATATGATGCTAACTACAAAAGACCGTTGTTACAGGAAAGAATGAATCAGATAATATGGTACAATAACCAATGCACCGCTTAGGGGGAGAACTAACAATTTAAAAAAAATTCACTTTCCATTACTGTGACCAAGCCGTAGTGTAGCGGCATGATGCTTGCCTGCGGATCGGGAGGTTGTGGGTTCAAGTCCTGGTGGAGTCTGACTTTTTTAAATGACCTTGGCTGTCGTGATTGACCCAGCCTTGAGTGGGTACTAGGTACAGTCCTGAGAAGTAAAGGCGGCCGGCATGATGTTGACCACATCATCCACCAAGTGCCGATTGGTCTATAAAATATAGGTCAAGCCCTATATGCCTAATACGCATGAAGGTGGGGGAAAAGGATCCTTTACTTACTTACTTTACTCAACTGTGACCATCTTACAACTTTGCGACTTCATATTTCAGTACTTACAAAACTGCCTTCTTGCCCCCCCCCCCCAAATCTTTCTTTATGTGTCTGTCTGTCTGTCTGTCTGTCTGTCTGTCTGTCTGTCTGTCTGTCTGTCTGTCTGTCTGTCTGTCTGTCTGTCTGTCTGTCTGTCTGTCTGTCTGTCACTCTCTCTCTGTCCCTGTGTGTGTGCACGTAGGTCTCAATCCCTTTCTTTCTCTCTACATTTTTCTATCTCTTTATCTGTGGTGTGTATCTCTCTCTCTCTCTCTCTCTCTCTCTCTCTCTCTCTCTCTCTCTCTCTCTCTCATTGTGTCCCTATCTATATTTATCTCCATCCCCCTCCTTCTATTCAACATTTGTGGGAACTGTTATCTTTAAGTTGCTTGTTTGGCAGGTTATGGTCAGTATATTAATATGATTGGACACTGTTCTCTGTTTACAGATGGCAATTACTTTACATACACCAGACATGAGCCAGTGGGAGTCTGTGGGCAGATCATACCTGTAGGTATCCATGTCTAGTTGAAAACATTGCACACATGCATGTAGATGTACACAACAGTGCATATGCATGCATGTACATACACATATGTACACATGAACACACACACACACACACACACACACGTACGCACGCACGCACTCACTCACACACACACACACGCACGCACGCACACACACACAGATATATATATATATATATACATATGAAAACATGCACATCCGATGCATGCACACACATGCATTACATGAACATGTAAACATGCACACATGTATACCCACTTGGATACATATGAACACACGCACACATGCATGAACACGCATATATGTACATACATTTACATACATACACAAACATGAATGCACACACACATAAAACACACAAGTGTCTTGTAAATATGGTGGTCTGAGTGAGCAAGAAGAAGTGTTAATCATTAAACTTCAGCACAACGGAATGCATGGACGTTTGCAAGTAGGCTCAGATCCCAGTGTGTTTAATTTACGTCGTCGAGGGACAAAAATGAAATAACAGTAATCTATCCCACACAGTGACACCTGACGAAAGATGTGATGTGGAGATAAAGAAAAGAATTGATACATTCATCTAAAGATTCTGTCACAAGAATGCACAAGTTCATGAAATTTAAAAAAAAAAAGGTTTCGTGAGAGGTACATAAGTCCACTTACTGGAACATTTTAATGGCCTGTTCTTATGTTTCGAAAGAAACAGCTAGCTACAGTACCATTTAAATGTTGTGTAGGTGTCTACAGAACTATCAACTATACTATCTAAGTAGTGTATAAATCTACATGGAGATATCTATTGCACCTTTAAATTTATACAGAACTAATTCCACGTTAAAAACTGTAATCTATACAGAACTCTTCACTATATCATGTAAATGCAGGGTTACGTTAACTTATCACGTGTTTATTACAGACTAATAGGTTAGTAAGTCAATCTGGTCATCAGATGAATTTATAGTTCTCAACAATTTTAATTCAAATGGGTTATGAATATGAAATATTTTTTACATTAAAAAATAAAAATTCAAGCTGTGTACGGGAAATTAGACCCTCCTGCGCTTTAGGCATCCATTCTGAGAACTTTGTGATCCCTCTTCTTTATTTGCCTTCTAATTCCCCAATGGGGCATAGGCAACAAACTCACTCCAAGTTGTTTTGTCCTGGGCTATTGCATACAGCTCTCCCCATGTCCTCCCTAGCTTTTTAACTTCACTTTCTAGCTCTCACAGACATCAGAAATAGACAGTCATCATTTTTCAGCCATGTTATGAGAAGAGTGAAAATAGAACATGTTGTGACCACTGGAAAGATCTGTGGAAGGAGAGATAGAGGAAGACAATGAGAGAAGATTCTTGACAGTCTTGTTGCATGGCATGGAGGTTTGTCGGCACACGAACTGATACATGCTGCAGGAGATCGTAGGTTGTGAAAAGGCATGATCGCTCACGCCAGTCGGCAAGGCACCTGATGATGATAATGATTCTAGCTCTCTTCTCCATTTGTTTCTTGGTCTTCCTTTATTTCGTTACCCCTTTGGGTTCCAGTACAAATTTCTGAGCAAAGATATTCTAGTTATATTGTTCTCAGGTTTTCCCAATGTGTGCCTTATCCAATGCCAGCGTCTTTTCTTTATCTCAATTCTTGGTCTACTGGAACTTGCTTAGTTCTCTCCCTAAGCTCTACATTAATAATTCTATCATACCATTTAATTCCCTCTATTCTGCGCAGGCACCAGGTAATGAAAGTTTGTAGTTTATTAGTAATTGCCTTAATTGTTCTACATGTTTCTGCTGCATACAACAGTACTGATTTGACATCAGAATTAAAAATAGTAAATTTAGTATAAGCTTTAATTTCTTGTGACCTCCCCTTTTTAATCCTACCAATAGAGTTATTGCTTTTGTTGTTTACTGTTTTTATTTACTTAAATTTTTGTGCTACGCCCACGGCTTAGGCGTTGCGAGTCCGACTCGTAGTTCTATTTTGAAACCCACTGCTGGCTTTATGGGTTTTTATCATGGTATGGGATGTCGCGGGTCGACCCAGATTATAATAAGTAACAGGATAGCTGTCCTGGGAAAGTAAAGATGGCCGGCGTAATGCTGACCACATTTTCCACCTAGTGCTGTTTGGTCTGTAAAAATATGGGGTGCTCTTCCCATATGCCTGATGCACCCAAAGCATAAAAAAGGGATCTGTGCTTTTGACATATATTTTTGTGGGGTCATAAGTATTGATGGTTTAAGTGGCATAGGTGGTGAGTCGATGAGAAGGTCTATTGTGGAAATCTGCACAAGACTATGTCTAGAAAAGCCTGTAAAGATTGTGTGTGTGTCTCCACAGTGGAACTATCCCCTGCTGATGCTGTCCTGGAAGATCGGCCCAGCTCTTGCCTGTGGGAACACTGTTGTACTGAAGCCATCTGAGTTCACCCCACTGACTGCCCTGTACTCAGCTCAGTTGTTCAAAGAGGTTAGTTGTTATAACAACCCATGTATTGGTAGGAACCCACAGAGAAGCAAAGAGAGTGGTAACACTGAAACCTGCTTACCATGCATGTCGTAATGGCAAATGCAGGAAGGTTGGCTCCAGACCAGCTACCTCACTCAGTAGAAGTCTGCTAAAGGCTTGGTATGATTTGATTGAGGACCTGTCATTACGAAGTGAAAGGCAGCAGAAATAGCTCTTGTAAGAGATTAGTTTTAATACCTGTGGGTAGTGCTGTTGAAATCATTATTGTGTAACGGTAACGCGTTTGATTCCCTACCAAGACAGACTTTTAAAATGAATTTGAGCTCTTCACCGTTTGGGTTCCGGGGCCCAGTTTTGAGCAAAATAAAGAACTGATCGACTGCACCTTAACAAGCATGTTGTAAAAGGCAACAACTGAGGACCTTGTTAAATTCAGATATATTTGGCTGAAAGGTGAAGATATTGCAGCCTAGCTGTAATCACAGGAAAATGTTCCAACTTTGCTTTTAAAGGCGAAGACAGAGAAAAAGAAAAAGACAAATACCTGGTTTAGGTTGACGTTAATCTCCCCAAATAGAGTAGGTCACTTTTCATTCACAAGTTTGTTGGGCTGGTCGACTTTTCTGAAGTTTACGGGTGTGTTCCGCTCTGTTGTTTGCTTTCTGCGATGTCTTGAATTTACGTTTTCATTCCGAGAAAGAAAATGCCTGTGACATTGCAGTACTCTCTAGGGGGATTGTGTTAGCACCAGTTTCTGCATGTTTTTGGAGTGTTAAAAGTGCTGGCATGCTAAAATATACAACACACGAGTTTGCAAGGTGACAGGTTCAGGAACTATCAACCAGAATTGAGCTAGTGTGTATATGGGCGGGCCGTGGGGAGATCAACGTTACTTTTACCAAAGACCTGAGCTTCCAGGTCAACATAGCCTAAAATGGATACTGGAAAATGGTATAGAGGCAAAGACAGCCACATGATGTATTGACCATGTGACATGTTAAGAGACTGTTGGTCTATATAGTTCTAAAGCTAGCACTGTATGATCATCATGCCTCAAGACTTAGGGGATGAGTCATTTTACTACAAATCTGTTACTGTTGACTTTCTTGGGATTGTGCTTTTGGAAATGCAAGGTATTGTTTGGAAGAAGTTTCAGTTGTGAGTGACAGTGTGACATAGAACTTGTGTGTTGCTACAGGTAAATCATGCGGTCATTGTCTTGAACTACTGGGGTCATAACCTTGTGACATAAAACTTGCAAGATGTGATACTAAACAGATTAGGTCATTGTCTTGAAGTACTGGGGTCCTGACATTGTTACACGCAACTTGTGGATTGTGACAGTAAATTCATAGTGTCATTGCCTTGAATTGCTGGAGTCATGAAATTGTGACATAGAACTAATGGGCTGTGACATTGAACTTGTGGGGTCATTGCCTTGAACGGCTGAGGTTGTGACCTTGTGATATATAGCTTTTGGGCTATGAGGGAATGTATGTGTGGTGATAGATAACACAAAGGTCATTGGCTTGAACTGTTTGGGCCAGTACTTGTGGTGTAACTTGCAGGGTATGACATAACCTGTAGATAGTGACAGAACTTATGAAATGTGACATACTTTGTAGGTTGTGAAAGAAGTTGTGGGCTGGACAGAACTTATGGGTTGTGCCAGAACGTGTGGGTTGTGACAGAAGTTGTGGGCTGTGACATTACTTGTGTGCTGTGACAAAACTTACGGCTTGTACCAGAACTTGTGGGTTGTGGCAGAAATTGTGGGTTTGTGGCATAACTTAATAAATGTGTGGGTTATGACAGAAGTTGTGAATTGTGACATAACTTGTAAGCTGGGGCAGAATTTATAGCTTGTGACATGATCTTTGGGCTGTGACAGAAATTATGGGTTGTCAAGTAGACTCATGAGGTAAATACCTTGAACTGCTGGGGTTATGACCTCGAGCTTGAGAACCGTGATCTTGAATGTGTATATTTCTGGAACAGGCTGGGTTCCCACCTGGTGTGGTCAACATTGTTCCAGGTTATGGTCAGACTGCTGGGGCAGCCATTGCCAGCCACATGGACATTGACAAGATTGCTATGACTGGATCCACTGCAGTAAGTGATTGTCCTGGGTTTGTGTCCACAAAGGTGTTCATTTTCTTTATTAATTTCATCATTTATTTATCTGTAGATATTATAATTTCTTAAAAAAATATTTTTTTTGGTGAAAGGCCTGTAAAAACTGTGTACACAAGGGAGCTGAATGTCGTAGACCAAGAGGCAGACCAAGAAGACGATCGAGAGATAACATCAAAACAGACCTACAAACAATCAGTGTCACTGACTGAAAAGAGAAGGCCAACCAGAGAGATAAATGGAGGCTGGTAATATCTGCGGCAGTGAACATCAAGGGCTTAGATTGCTGAAGAAGAAGAAGGAAGGCATGCCACTCTGAAGGGCCCTAGAGGTGAGAGGAGACATGCTACATGCAACAGTCCAAGCTGTACACCATTTCCATAGAGCCCTGCCTGGAATATTTCCAAATGTTAGGAATAGTATGTGCAGCCCCTAAGACACTACTGTGAAGGGGACTGTGATTTTTGACCTCCAATTGAGTAATCGCATTTGCCTAGCCACCCTGCACTAAAGCATTAGCCTAAGTGTTTTTGCAAGAATCAATCTTTTCTAATGAAATCACATGTTCTCTTGTTTAGTGAGATGGGTACCTAACCTTCTCAAATAATGTAGTGTGTATGTCTAGAGTAGAAGAAATAAAACACAAAGGTAATGTAGTGTGTATGTCTAGAGTAGAAGAAATAAAACACAAAGGTAATGTAGTGTGTATGTCTAAAACAAGAGATATTCTTGTACAATGAATTTGATTCTTTAGAAACCAAACCTATGTTTCAGACTGGGAGAAAGATTCTAGCAGCGTCTGCTGAGAGCAACTTGAAGAGGGTCAGTCTGGAGCTCGGAGGGAAGAGTCCTCTGATCATTTTTGCAGATTGTGATTGTAAGTCAAATTCGCCTGATTAAGGGTTGTGATTGTAAGTAAAAGTAGCGCAATTAATAAGTGAGGTTGTAAGTAAAAGTAGCCCAATTAATGATTGTGATCTAAGTAAAATTAGCCCAATTAATGATTGTGGTGTAAGTAAAATTAGCCCAATTAATGATTGTGGTGTAAGTAAAAGTAGCCCAATTAATGATTGTGATGTAAGTAAAATTAGCCCAATTAATGAGTGTGATTGTAAGTAAAAGTAGACTGATGTGTTTTTTAATTGTGATTATAAGTAAAAGTAGACTTGTGAGTTTATTGAATTGTGATTGTAAGTAAAAGTAGATTGATGTATTTATTGATAGAGGGTCTGGGTTGTGTGTGTGTGTGTGTGTCTGTGTGCGTGCATGTGTGGGATGTTGTGTATTTTTTGTGTATGGGTGTGTGTGTGTGTGTGCGTGTGTGTGTAATGGTCTGGATGTGCAAATGGTCTGTGTTATGATGGAGCTGCAAGGTCAGTTTGCATCCCTACCCCCTTGTTTTTGTATAGATTGGAGAGATTTTCTTTGCCAAACACAACATTCCACAGGTTCGTCAGACTCCATTCTCTCCTGACATGACTGCTCGAGCAGAAAATGCCAGTTTCAGGGACCATTATTTGTTAAAAATCTATAAGTGTGCTTTATGGTTGATTGGGGTTTCTAGGATTTGTACCAGTTTGATTCTCATCCTTGAGCTGGTAATCCTACAGACTTCAGTCCTAGGGAAACGTTTAAAAAATCAAATTTGGTCTCCTGAGTTAGTGTAACTGTGCTTAATGTGAATCCAATGCTGTATTCACAGTGGACTTTGCTGTGTCGTGTGCACACAGTGGCATCATGAACAACCATGGACAGAACTGTGTGGCAGCTTCACGAACTTTTGTCCAGGACTCCATTTATGACGAGTTTGTGAACAAATCGAAAGCTCTGGTAGCACGCAGGACAGTCGGGAATCCGTTTGATCCAAAAACTCAGCAAGGACCTCTTGTAAGTGGCTGCTAAAATTAAAATGCCTATCAGTTTCTAGCTGTTTCCTGTCACTGATGTCACTTTCTGTAGGGAGCTGTTTCCTGTCACTAAAGTCACTTTCTGTAGGAAGCTGTTTCCTGTCACTAATGTCACTTTCTGTAGGGAGCCGTTTCCTGTCACTAAAGTTACTTTCTGTAGGGAGCCGTTTCCTGTCACTGATGTCACTTTCTGTAGGGAGCTGTTTCCTGTCACTAATGTCACTTTCTGTAGGGATCTGTTTCTCTGAACATGCCGGTGGTGGCTGCAGCGAGAACGATATCTTACTGAATAAATTTACTGCTGGACATTAAACATATTTATAGCTGGTTACGGAAAATATTTATAGATAGGACACTGGCAGCATCTGCAGCTGTGTCAGGTAAACAGTTTATAGCTGGGACACTGAACACATTTATAGCAGGGACACAGAGTTCCACATTTATAGCAGGGAAAGTTATAACATTTATAGCAGAGACAATAGTTACATTTATAGCAGGGACAATAGTCACATTTATAGCAGGAGCTGTAATCATATTTATAGCAGAGACAATAGTTACATTTATAGCAGGGACAATAGTCACATTTATAGCAGGAGCTGTAATCATATTTATAGCAGGGACAATAATCACATTTATAGCAGGGACAGTAATAATATTTATTGCATGGACAGTAATCACATTTATAGCAGGAACAATGGTCACATTTAAAGCAGGGACAGTAATCACATAGCAGGGACAATAATCACATTTAAAGCAGTGATACTGATCATATAGAAAGGACAGTGAACATATTTATAGCTGGGAGTTTTAACATATTTACTAATTATGGGAGTATAGCTTCATCATCAAGAGGAGTGATTGATTGATTGATTTTGACAGAATCATGTCTTGGGAAATAATCAGTTGCTTATAGAAGAGCCATATTTCATGTAATATATGATGCATAGACAATACAGTAACCGTTAATTTATTGACTTAAGAATCGGTGTCGCAGCACATTGGGCATATGCATGGATGCTCCGTCTCCCACAGCAAATATCTCAAGATGTAACTGCTGAAAGTTCCAGTAGCACACTGATTGTATGGACATCATACTCTTCATCCCATACATTCTTTCTTGCCAGATCCATACTTAATTACACATTAATGCTGTCTTGCACATATTCTTTCATCTGACATTGTATCATCAGTCAATACTTGTTCATATATTGTCTTCAGGGTGTCTGTATCAGTTAGGAGTGTTTGTTGCTTCTGCGGTTGCTTTGTGTAGTTAAAAACTAAAACTCTGCCGATTCTTTGCCTCACATTCCTGATTGTCTCAGACAGATATCAACTTAAGTCCCTGCAATGTTAAAGTGCTTCTCTGTGTGGGTTGGGGCCCCATCAGGAGGGTCAGGGCGCCATTGTGAGGGTCAGGGCCCCATTGTGAGGGTTCGGGGATCCATTTTAGTGGGGGGAAAAACAGTCGGAATTCCTCCTTACATACATTTAATAAAAACTGATAAATTAGAGGTTTGCTGAGATAAAATGTGTTGGTCAAAAGATGCAGATATCACAGCCCAGTTATAAACCACATCACAACATACCATCATCCTTTTTGAGGGTGAGCGCAGAAAAAGCTGAAGTAATGGTGCTTGGTATCCACTCATATTTTAAGATTTATGCAGTACACGGTATTGAATTGTTTGATTGTTTCAAGATTGATTGATTGTTTCAAGATTGACTGATTCAATAGTTTGTTTATGTATAAATTTATTGGACAACAAGTAGATTTAGTTATGGAACTTTCCAGATGTTTCTGCTGTTTTCTAGATCAACAAGGTGCAGTTTGAGAAGGTGCTGGGCTTCATTCAGAAAGGGAAAGAAGAAGGAGCCAGCTTGGTGATTGGTGGAGGCCGTGCTGGGAGCAAAGGTTACTTTGTGGAGCCAACTGTGTTTGCTGGGGTCAAGGACGACATGACAATTGCAACAGATGAGGTGAGGAAGGTTATGTGTGTGTGAGAAGAGAATGATTTCATGTGTGTGTGTGTGTGTGTGTGTGTGTGTGAGAGAGAGTAATGGGCCAACTATCTCTCCTGTTGACACACAAGCAGATACCTCAGAGTACTAAAGTGAATCTTATTATAACTATTGTTTGGCCAACTCTATGCTATCAATGCCAACCGTGGACACTTACATCCTCCAATGAACGTAAAATTGTGACAACAGAGATGAAATGCCTTAGAAGAGCTGCAGGAGTTTCAAGAAAAGACAGAACACGAAATCATGAAATCAGACGAATGCTAGGAATAAAGCCAGTCTTACAGGTCATCAAAGAACAACAAATGAAGTGATTTGGACACCTAACAAAAATGCCCTGGTACTATCTGCCACAGTGAGCCACAATAAAACCTTACAACGGGTAGATAGCGAGTGGAAGACCTCGGAAAATATGAAGTGATGGCATTAAGAACAGCCTTACAGAAATGAACATCAGTCTTAATAGTGCTCTTTACAGAGCTCATCAACAAATATTACATCTCCCCCCGACACTTCGATGAGGTACAAGGTGGAAGAGAAGATGAAGAAGAAGAAGTGTGTGAGAGACTGAGGGAGAAGAGAATAGTTTCATGTGTGAGAGTGAGGGGGAAATTGTTGCATGTGTGTGTGTGTGCATGGGTGCATGCATGCATGTGTGAGCGCGCGCACATGAGTCAGTGAAAAGAGAATGGTTGTGTTAGTGTGAGAATGGATGGTTGCAAATATGATATGAAACAACTTCAGCAAAAGCTCATATTTGCATATGTATTGAGATGAGAGCGTGTATGTAGTAGTGCTAACTTCTTTCACTGTTTTGTTGTCCCAGATTTTTGGGCCTGTCCAAAGCATCATCAAGTTCAGCAACGTAGAGGAAGTGATTGACAGAGCCAACAGGACCAGATATGGTCTGGCAGCTGGAGTCATCACCAATGACATCAACAAGGCACTGAAGATCTCCCAGTCTCTCCAGGCTGGCAGTGTGTGGTAGGTTCTTTTTGACTGTTCTTGTAGCTTGATGTGTGGCTGGCAGTGTGTGGTAGGTTCTATCTGGCTGTTCTTTTAGCTTATGTGGGGCTGGCAGTGTGTGGTAGGTTCTTCTGGCTGTTCTTTTAGCTTATGTGGGGCTGGCAGTGTGTGGTAGGTTCTTTCTAGCTGTTCTTTTAGCTTATGTGGGGCTGGCAGTGTGTGGTAGGTTCTTCTGGCTGTTCTTTTAGCTTGTATGGGGCTGGCAGTGTGTGGTAGGTTCTTTCTAGCTGTTCTTGTAGCTTTATATGGGGCTGGCAGTGTGTGATAGGTTCTCTCTGGCTGTTTTTGTAGCTTGATGTGGGGCTGGCAGTGTGTTGTAGGTTCTCTCTGGCTGTTCTTGTAGCTTGATGTGGGGCTGGAAGTGTGTGGTAGTTCTCTCTGGCTGTTCTTGTAGCTTGATGTGGGGCTGGCAGTGTGTTGTAGGTTCTCTCTGGCTGTTCCTGTAGCTTGTGTGGGGCTTGTACTGGCTTAGATGTGTGTCTTCTGCATCTTAATTATAACAGCATCAGGTTTGCATCCAGTCTAAATGAGAAATACATTCACAAATAGCAATAGGTACTCATGGAGGTAGAGTTTGAGAACCCATGTCACAGCTATTTCGCTCATTCCCTTAAGTGATCTATCCTTACCTTCAGCTCCAGCACAGCAATCCAGTTCCATTGGTATATGAATATGATTATGTGCCCACCTTGCCTTCTGAAAAGTGTTGACCAGATCCATTGGTCACTCCTGGTTGCACCATTACTTTCAGACCATTCTTCTTCTGCCTTTCTAACCCCCAAGTGGAGCATAGGCCCTCAGCCAACTCGTGCTATCCTTTGCTATCGCATGCAGCTCTCTCCATGATTTTCAGACCATAAGGATCTGTTTATGCTGCGAAGTAGAGAAATGAAGTAAAGATTAGAGGACACAACAACATCAGGATTGAACGTTGTTACAACCATACCAGGATTTTTACCTGCTAAGTCCAATCTATAACAGCAATTCAATGTAAGAACAGATATGAGGCAAACAGTTTCACCATCACTTTACTGAGATAATGAACTGTTTTCAGGTAGATAAAACAGCTCAGCGTCTGTGGCTTAGGATGGATTGCCAGAGAAGTGTTGGATTCCAGAGTACCAGATTTAGTACAAGACCACTTTGTGTTGACTTTGGCAGCATTTTGAGCATCATAGCGTTCAGGAAGCATCGGCAAACTACTGAACATGCATTTTTAAAGAAAAACCACACACAAGCCAGTAAACGCTGGGGTTAGTTTGCGGTCCTGAAATACTTTGGATCTTTTCTCCAGGCTATGCCGGCGTGGTGGGTAATGAACAGGTAGACAGATTGGCTGGATCCGCACCACTGGGTGGTGAATTGATACATGACATGGCAGATGGGGTCAAAGCCCTGTGGGAATAAGCAACGGAATCAGTAGAGAAATAAGATTATTATGGCCGGGAGAGAATGAGGTACCTGGGTGTAACTAGAGGATCTACGCGGCTCACTACACTCAGAGGAAAAGCAAGACGGCCATATAACCAAATTTTGGCTGGTACCATCAGTATTGGAACTCTGCGCTAGCTGCTGAAGATGAGGACGGAGCACACATGAGAATGCCCCGAATGCTATGATGTCAATTTTTGACTCAGCTCAACTCCTGAAAAGGACTTGAAATTAACTTTATCATTTAGTGAAAACAGAGCACAACAAAATGATGGAAAAGTTAATGTGTGTTTTAAGACTGTGACATGCAAACAAACAATGACTGTGTGTGGAACACACTTCAGATTCTCGGAAGGTTCAGTTTTTGATTTCTTGGGGTTTTGTTCACTGTTGCAGGGTGAACTGTTATGACATTGTCACTTGTCAGACACCATTTGGAGGTTTTAAGCAGTCAGGACAAGGCCGTGAATTGTGAGTTTTCTCTCTGTAGTCTCTCTTTCTGTCACAATCACACACAGTGTCTTTTCCTGTACCCTCTCTCTCTCCCCCTCCCTGTCACTTCCCCCCCCCCCCCCCCCCCCCCCGCGCGTCTATTTTTTTTTCTTTGCAGTCACTCTCTACTGTCAACTCCCCTGCATCTGACTGTCATTCCCTTAACTGTCTATCACCTTCCCTGCATCTGACTGTAATTCCCTTTACTGTCTATCACCTTCCCTGCATCTGACTGTCATTCCCTTTACTGTCTACCACCTCCCCTGCTCTTAATATCAATCTCTCTTCTTCTCTTTCTCACTGTCACTGCCCTCTGTTTATTCTCTGCCACTGTCATCCCTTCTCACTTTCTTTCACTTTCACCTGCTCCCCACTCCCTAATCTTCTCCCTCTCACAGTCAAGGTCAACTCTTTATTTCTCAGTCTCTCTCACATTCACCTAACTCTTTCTCTATTACTATCACTCTCTCCTTGTCAGTCTAACTTTCAATATCACATACTGACTGTCTCACCTAACTCTTTCTATCTCACTGTCACTCTCATTCTCTCCTCTTCTCTCATTGACACGTAACTCTCTCTCACTCTCTTATTGTGATCTCACTCTTATCTTACACTACCACCTACCCCAACCCCCCCCCCCCCCCCCCACTCATTATCTCTCCCTGTCAACTAACCTTTTTTTCTCTAACTATCACTGTCATCCTCCCTCTCTATCTTTCACTATAACACTACTCTCCCCCCCCCCCCCCCAAATGTCTCTCTTACTTTTATGTGTCTCATTGTCTATCCACATCCTCTCTCTTTCATTGTCATCTCCCTCCCACCTGTGTTTCTCACTGTCACTTTGTAACCATTGTAATCTCCTGCTCTTTTTTAACCTCCTTCCTTTCTCACTATCACTCTTACATATGTATGTTTGGTATGTATTTGTGCCTGTTTATGACTGTGTGTATGCATGGATGTATACATCTGTATGTATGCAGATGTTATGTATGAGAGTGTATAATGGGTGTATGAGTGTGTGTACGTGAGGTGTATGGGTGAATGTGTGTGGGTGTTGTATGAGAGATACCTTTGCAGGCGTGTGTGGTATGTATGAGTGTGTTGGTATATGAATGAATGAGTGTGCATGTATATATAAGTGTGTGTATAAACGTGCCAGGCTCACCCTGAAGCAGAATGATTTCATAAATTCTTTCTTATAATCATATCTAACACACTCTGTTTTTGTCTCGTGCTACTGGTGAAGGCTTTCTAGCCACAACCTTCATTTTGTCATCTGTAATTGGGGCACTGCAAAGCTGACTAGTTCTGCTTCTCGTGTAGATTGACATGTTTTCCATAACTGTCACTACTGTCTTTTCCCCATAAGGGCTCCTGAGCCCCCTTGTGGGGAAAACAAGAATAGATCCACTGCTACCCCAATAATCATGTTGTAAGAATCGACTAATCGGGAGTTTTCTTCGAAGTCGGAGTGCAGTTGCCTGAGAGGCAAGAGACCAACAGTCTGCATACAAATACGTCAGACCTCTAAAATGGATGTGCACGCAACACCTGGGTTCTGGAACAAGTCTGGATGAACAACCAGAACGTTTCGCTGGAGCTTACAGCCTGTAAACGTGAAAGAAAAAGACTACTATCTGTATTAACTGCATTTTAGGGCAGTATAGACAGGGACATCGAGAGCCTGAGGATTTACGGCGGCATGGCAAGTGCTGTGACCACAGACTTTGTAGGTTAGAATGTTTATTTGTATCCCCAACAAAACAAAACAAAAAGTCTATCACATCATCTTACCAGGTGTTGAACTCGGGTCTTCTGCATTGTAGCTCGCTAAAGCCCATACTATATATAACAGTTGAGATCAGCTTCACTGCACTGGGTTTGACCCCATATGGCGGCTCGGTCTCTTTCCGTAGAATGGCAAGCCGCCTATCAAGAGCGTCACACAAAGCAGGAACTCTGTGGCTTCGGCGAAGATCCCCAGGGAGCTCTATAAAAAATGCACTAGTGAACTGATCCGCGTGGTGGTGGAATGAACCCACGACCTTTAGAGCGCGAGGCAATCGGCCTGACCATATGCCAGATGGCATTAAAAAAATTCATTGGAACCACTGTGGTGTATTGACTAAACACCTGCCCCCCCTGATCTGAATGTCATGGGTTCAAATCCACATGGTGCTGGATTTTTTTGTACATGACCTTGGCTCCCAAGTTGACAGTCTTAAAATTGAGCACCCTATAAAGACCTGGGAAGTAAAGGTGTTTGGCTTGATGTTGATCACATTACCCTTCTAGGGCCGGATTGGTCTATACAAATATGAGTTTTAACCTCCTATGCCCTTTGCAAGAGTGGCTTGTGTTAAAGGACTGTTACTTTGTTTTTGCTACACAGTTTATTTGAACACATGATAACCAGTTTCATTGTCTTCCTGTTTAGGGGCGAATATGCACTTCATGAGTACACTGAGATTAAAACAGTCACCATTCAGGTTCCGGAGAAAAATTCTTAAACTTGTGTGGCAGTCAAGATGTGGAAACTTGATCATGTGTGGGGAAGATGGTCGAGTTACACACAAATATCATTCTATGTTGCTGCTTCCAGCGTAGCTTATGTGAATATGTATGTTACAGAGCCGTGCTTGTTTAATGTGCTGATTTATTGTATGTTAGCATGTGTATAGATGATGGGGTTGAGTTACACACAGAGAGTGACAACTATTATTATTGTTTTTCTTGAGGCTGTTTCAAAATGTACTTGTATGCACTTATGTTAGAAAATGGTGCATGTGTTATGAGCTCATATATTATATGTTTGTGTGTGTAGATGCTGGTTCACACAGACAGTGATAACTATTACTGTTGCAGCTGTTTCCAACCATACTTGTTTGTACATATGTTAGAAAACAATGCTTGTGTTATGAGCTCAGATTTTAAAAAAAAATATGTTTCATGTTTTGTGTAGTTGATGCTTGAGTTTCACACATATGGTGACCAATATCATTTTGTGTTGTTGCTCCAAACTCTATGTGTGTGTGTGTGTGTGCGTGCGTGCTTGTGTAAATATATATATATATATATATATATATATAGTGTTCCATGAGACCCTTCACAGTGACTAAATATTGTAATGCGCTTACGTTTGCTTTGTAGGCTTTAAGAGTTCATCTCAGTAATATTGCTTCAGTGCTGCATATTTTGGGTAAAGAAGCAGTTCCTACATTAAAACCCCCATTTACAGAAGCTGCTGGAAAAATCCAGCGCGGCTCTCTCAGGTGCTTTTGGATACACTTCTTAATATTTTAGAAGACCTTTTATAGGTTGGGCAGCCGCCATAGTCTAGCGGCTAGACACTCGCCTGCGGAGCGGAAGGTTGGGGCTTGGGGGTTCTGACAGGGTCTGAAGTTTTTTTTCCAAAATGACCTTGGCTCCCGGGTTGACCCAGCCTTGATTGCTGGGAAGTAAAGGCTGCCGGCGTGATGGTGGCCATATCACCCACCAAGTGCTGTTTACCTATAAAATATAGGTCTAACCCAATATGCCTGAAAGAGTGGAAAAGGGTCCTTTACTTTTACTGACTTTTGTAGGTTGGGCTGTGAAACTGTATTGATGTCAGGAATGATTGATGCTTTCAGTTGGTTTAATGTGCTGGACTCTTTTTACGAGTACAGCCAAACTACACACTGGCTGATCTTTGATTCATGCTTGTTCAGGCTAGTCTACGTTACAGGGATGTTACGTTGTATTGTTTCAGGTGATATCACTGGCGATAACGTGTGTACGATATTAAACGATGTGACCGCTTTCAACGACCGAATATCTAGAACTGGCCCTAACCCCAACTCCTCATGAGGAGGTTTAATGTACGACCTGTGGAAGCAACGTGTTTCTGCTTGTCACTTGTCAGCAATAGACAGCTCAAGGTAAATTCATGTCATCCTTCAAGTCCAACAAAGCTATAATTTAGGAAATGTCGCAAGCCACTGCTGACGAGTAACACACAATGCAGAAAGCTTTGTCAAGACAATACGTGACAACCCTCTAACATACGACTAGCCCGTGTCATAGCTGGGAAAGCATGAATGAAAGCCCAATTACGCTCTGATGAGCCGGATTTAGTTAAAAGTTCCATGTGTGGGTATTGTTTTTGTAAACTTGCCCTTTAAGTGTACCCCCTAGATAATAACCAGGTGGAGTAAGGTCTAGAGGGCCGGAATCCTCATGAGATTTGTAAAGATAACTTTTCAACAAAGACAGTGGTGGTTCAGCTGTGTGTACTGTTAGTTGCACCAACTTGTTGGAACCAGGCTTGTTCTGTTTCATGTTGAGAAAGATATTCAGTGAAATGGTCAGGATTAACGTAACAAGCAACTGCCCCACTGACACACAGACAATTATGATCAGTGGTAGAACTGTGTTTATATCAGGGCTGGTAAAGGTCACTAGTATCGTGTAATCCTGTCAACAGTGCACCATCTGCCAGGAACCTGTTGATTGTGACTCCCATCAGTTTTCTTAAAAATTCAGACAGCACGACATCAGTAAACAGATATGGTTTTTGTTTGCTTATTATCTGGAGCAAAGAATAAATATTACTCAATAAATATAACTCAAACTGAATTGTTGCGGTGTTCTAGTCATGTTTGGTGATCTGTCTGTCACACCAACCTATGTCTGTCACACCAACCTATGCCTGTCACACCAACCTATGCCTGTCACACCAACCTATGTCTGTCACACTAAACTCTGAATGCATCTAACCTTAGTCTGCATGTCAATGCAGCCTTTATACAGCCACCTAATTGGTCCATATGTCAACTCAGCCTAAGTAGGTCCTAGTCTAGACTAGCCTTTAGCTGGTATGCCAATCCCAGTCTGTGTCCACACAGCCTTTGTCTGTCTGCCAAACCAACCTTTGTATGCCAACCAAACATTAAACTGTATGTCAGTACAACCTTAGTCTGTCTGCCAACCAAACATTAAACTGTATGTCAACCAAACATTAAACTGTATGTCAGTACAACCTTAGTCTGTCTGCCAACCCAAGTATGCCAACCAAACATTAAACTGTATGTCAGTACAACCCAAGTATGCCAACCAAACATTAAACTGTATGTCAGTACAACCCAAGTATGCCAACCAAACATTAATCTGAATGTCAGTACAACCTTAGTCTGCCAACCAAACATTAATCTGTATGTCAATACAACCTTAGTCCGTATGCCAACCAAACAATCTGTATGTCAATACAACTTTAGTCTGTAAGCCAACCCAATCTTAGTCTGCATATTAACCCCAACCTCAGATTGTCTGCCAACCCAATCAATATGTCAATGAAATGGAAACTAGTATTAACTGAGGAGACAGCCATATCATAAATCTGACTGTAAAGAAATGACTCCAACACCGTACATAAACCAACCATATATGTATAATACATCAACTATCTAACTAATGAGCTGATAAAATACAATAGGAAGTGTTTTCTGTGCTTACGTGAGCTAGTTTCTGGCCATTCCGACTGCAAAGAGTTGATGAATATTACAAACCCATTTGGGAGCCCTGGTGGTGAATCGGCTAGGATCTCACCTCCTGACATAAAGGTCGTGGGTTCAAAACAATGAGTCAGATTATTTCCCAAAAATGACCTTGGCTTCTGGGTCGACCCAGCCTAAAATGAGTACTAGATAAGGTCCTGGAAAGTAAAGGCAGATGGTGACCACATCATCCATCAGCCAACTGGGACTGCTAGATCCACTCAGTGAGGCCAATTAACTAGCATTTACCTAAATCTTGGCTGAGAACACTTTGAAACCAGCATAGCATGTTTTGATGGCCCCATTCTTTGGTCCCGCAAATGAACATCAAAGTAAGCATTTTACAACACACAAAAAAAAAACAAAAAAAAGTTACTTCATGTTACTTTTTTGGTATGCCACCTTCAGTTTTTTCACATCTGTGACAATTTAAATACAAAAATCGCTAGCTCGACAGATACATATACAACACAGAAGTTTCATTGTAAATTTAGCGATTGGAATCACAGAACAATGATCATGAGATGAGAAATGACGATTAGGACTACATGCTAGGTACACTACATTCTTGGATAATCATTCCAATATATATATATATATATAAAGTCACTCAGTAAGTACTACACTCACACTTCACTGACAAGGCTATGAATACAAAATCAAGTGTAATTTTCTCTCACATAAACTGGCTAATCTTGGTATGTTAGTATCAGATCAATGTCACAATGTGTGTCTCTACAGCTGTAGTGTCATCTTGCACGTTTCTCTACAGTTGTAGCATCATCTTGCACGTGTCTGTAAGTTGCAGCATCATCTTACATGTGTCTCTATAGTTGTAGCGTCATCTTGCACGCGTCTATAGTTGTAGTGTCATCTTGCACATGTCTGTTTAGTTGTAGCATCATCTTGCACGTGTCTCTGTAGTTGTAGTGTCATCTTGCACATGTATCTATAGTTGTAGTGTCATCTTGCATGTGTCTCTATAGTTGTAGTGTCATCTTGCATCTATGGTTGCATTGTGCTACCTTGCATATGCTTCTATTGTTGCATGTCTCTCTTAGACTGCATTGTGTCATCTTGCATCAGTGCTTTTGGCAGTAGTATGCACGTGTCTCTACAAGTTGCATTAGCCAGGCAGGCAACGACACACAATATTTCAAATTGAAAAAGTAAATTCAGTGTGCAACTACATGAAAGATATCCAGCAATCCGTCTGCAAATACTGTCACCATTTCTTGTTTTCAGTGATAAACTGGTAGTAATAATAATTCAACACAAGACAACTGGTAGTAATAATAATTCAACACAAGACCAGTGCAAAGTTAAACATTCCAACTTTTCAATTCATACAACTGAAAACAATCAGATAATACGCTGACAAAAAAAAAAAAAAAAAAAAAAAAAAACAATGAAAAAAAAAAAAAGAAGAATATAGCCACTCAATAAATAATCACAGGAATGTATACACAGTAACAGCCAACCTAGCACACATAACTGTGATAGAGGCAGGCATACATCCTTCTCACAGAAAACCAGGAAATAACAAAGACCTGATCCAAATTTCTGTGAACACGACCTCTCTTAAATTATAACGTCAGGAATTATCTGCATGTTTTTCTGCCACAAATAAAAAACTGGTTCTGTAATTGAGCTATTCTGCAAGTTTTTAAATCAATACGTAAAGATGGATGGAAATAAGTATTTCTTTAATCAATTTCCATGCTTGGGCCTGTGCATTCTGAAGAGGAATATCCTCCAGAAAATAAACAGCATAAAAGACAGGATACCACAGAAAATTGGTAATATGTCCCAGGTGGAAAAAAGGAATTTATCTGTTTTAATGGGAAGCCTTTCAGGATACCATAATGTAAGAATGAGTCACAGCAAGAAAGACAGACCTGGAGAACACATATTGTTGCCATCTATGCATGTAAATATATACACATCACATTGTGTTGAGGCCGGGATAATCAATGACACTGGTCAGTGATATCTACCCTATAATTAGACACAAGTGAACTTGTTTACACATACAAAAGCATGGAAATGACAACATGTGAAGGTGCTGACAGTTCTCTGCATCAAACTATAGCTAAGTTTCACATCGGCACTAGGAAGGCTTGAATATTAATTTTCAGTCAGGCTGAGACGGGAGAAGGGCTGACTCACAACAACTATTAACCCTGTTACTACAGTTAACTACACGTTTCCAAAACAAATAAATCTCTAAACACTAGCACACTCCTAGTATATATGTGTGTGAATATATATATGTACGTGCTCTTATGTGTGCGTTACTTCAGTGAGTCAGAGGTTGCCACAATATTTCCAGCTAACGTATTAACAGATAAAAAATATTGTTAGTTGTGTATACTTTACAGGCCGTTGAATAACCAACCCCAGCATTGGCTGTTGTGGTTTTCCTAGGCCAATTTACGTCCAGTAGTTTGCCACTGCTTTCTAGATGGTCGGCTTCTCAATACCACTGTCCAAACCAAAGCATAGCACAAGGCCCACAGCTGGGTTTGAACCCGGCATTACAAAGTACGTGTGCAACGCCAAAGCCACAGACGCCGACCAATGAAAATATATATATAGGCAACATTTTTGCTGTGAATAAGTAGACTTTCAAGACAACACTTTAACCAACCACAGGACACAACTCGACACAGCATGTTGTCTACAGACTCACCCACTAACACAATTATGCTTATATTTACATACACACAGAGAGAAATACATCACACAACATCTAGTTTGGCACAGACAGCAGGTCCCTCCCTCTCTTTTCAGCAATACACGTCACTGCCAAACCAGGACTTTTTGGTTATTTCTACGCTTTTAAGTTGAGACTTCATGGCTGAGTGCAAGAAAAGTCTTGGGCAGCAGTCTACTCTCTGCATATGGCATTTGTGCGCTGTCTCTCTATTCTAGCGATCACTACAATCGTTGTACTGTTTATAATTCTGTCAGCCCCTGCTTGTCTGCACTTATACCCAAACATGAACAAAGCAGGCATTTCATCCAGATTCAAATATCACCTGCAAAGATTAGTGCAGTCTTTAGAATCAAACCCAGTTAATTACTGCTGGTCAACTAGTGTCGGGAACCACTGTGGTGTAGTAACTAGACACCCTCCGTGAAGGCCTTAGGTTCAAACCCCCCCCCCCCCCATGATCCCAGCTCACTGGGCAACCTAAAATGGGTGCCAGGTAGCCATGGAAAGTAAAGGTGGTCGGAGTGATGTCACTTCACATTTCGTGGGCTGATGGTCCATAAAAATAATAGTCTGGCATCATATGCGCAATACTTTTTACTATTTCAAAAAAATAGTTCATATGTCCCTGCAGTGTCTGCTCTGCCTGCGACTAAACAAGAAAAAATCCTCCTAAATATGGAAGCAATTGTTACAACCTGATGAATTCCTTTCTAGTCCAACTCACAAAAACATTTTCTAACACCAGAAAAAAATCAAAATATATCATTCCTTAAAGAAATCATGATACAGATTCAATCCATAATGTGGCAGCAACATAACTGACAACAACGCTGTTTGTAGCAAGTATATCCTCTAGCATGATTTTCACAAAACAGCCAAGCCATTTATTAACTCAAGAATGGTATTTGTATAATCCTGATTTTGTTCAATAATTGTTCCTCCCTCCCATCACTTGTAAAAGGCATTTTTTATTTTGCATTGGTAAATCTGTACACTTTATTCGATACACTAACCAAGCAAACTCATTTATTCACACCATCAAATCGCTGCACTTTCCAATGCCTCTAATTCCCTTTGTGAAATCCCCTTAATTCGAAACAAGTATGGGTCTGCAAGATATAAGAAGGCTGTGTACCTTCACAATACATTTCTTACACAACTTACTCCCCTCCCCTGAGTTCAGACCTAAACAAACTGCTAAATTATGTTTTCTAAACGAAAAAAATAATCAATTTTATTTCAAGAAAATAAAAAAATGACAAAACTATCAAGAATAATGACTAAGGAGCCTGCGATAAGCTTTAGTTGAGTTTCTTGAGATCATCTTGAGGTACTCTGTACAAGATGGAGTCCAGGTTGGGGTTCAAGTTCCAGATGCCGTAGGCGACAAAGAAAATGGTGATGAGCAGAATGATCATCAACCACAGAACGATGTTGAAGATGGCAGGGAAGTCTGGGTAATAGTCAATTTCCAGGTTCAGGGCTGAGGCCTAAATTTGGGAAAATGTACCAAAATGTAAAAACAAATACAGGTAATTAAAAGTAAAGGACCCTTTTCAGGCCCTTAGCAGTTCAGGCATTGGTGTTAGTCTAATATTTTTTATAAACAAACTGACATTCAATTGGCACATCAACAGTGGATTAAATGGTATCTGATATCGAATCTTTGTACTCGAAGATGCAAATAGCCGGGAATCGAATATAAAAAGCAATTTACAATCTGTTTAAATCACCATTGATCACTGGCAACATGAGAGGTAATACACTGAAAGGGCTGAGGCCTTTTGAGACAATGTCACACGACAGAGAGGTTAACAACTGTATACACAAGAGAGCTGAATCACTGTAGGGCCACAAAGCAGACAAAGAAGATGATGGAAAGATAATATCCAGACAGACCTACAACTCAACACTTGGTGTCAACAACTGGAAAGAGAAGGCCAACCAGAGAGATAAATGGAGACGGTTGCTATCTGCAGCAATGAACCTGAAGTGTTCAGAATGCTGAAAAAGAAGAATAATCTGCACTTAATGTGTGGTGTGGTTAACATTATGGATCACAGCACCCAAGTAGTAAATAACATTCTGCTTCAAGTATAAGTATTCCACTTATGCTTGAACAGTACAGTATAATGTATAGTCTCACCATTAGTCAAATGACAAACAACTAATCTGAGCAGAGTTGCAATTGGCTTTTTGACGCGGCAAATTTTTTGCCTTTGACAGACGATGGCCGTTTTCCTCCATTTAAAGACTGAAAGGATGCTATTTTGTTAACCAGCTATTGAGTTGAGTGCAGGGCAAGACACTGGGAGCTAAAAATTTCATTTGGAATGTTTTTCAACTGTGACAATATGGTGTTGTGAATTGTAGATTCAGAAAATGGCATGTGATCTGATGCCACACAAGGGGTGATGTCTTGTGTGATTAAAATTGATGGCGTGCTGATCTATTGGTAACTGCTGCTCCCATCAATGACAAACTGCATTTCTAGTGTCGGACTGTTTGTATTAGCACTTCTGATGGCTGCCTTATGCTTTTAATGCATGTGTATGCTAATGGATATGATGAGACTGCAGTCTATGTCACTTTTTCCACAAGAGACAGTGATGGACACTCTACGTGTTTTTCACTGGCACAGGAGCGGGACAACACTGGGGCGACCCAATTAACTATGAAACTGAGACTAAGATTACCGTGAGCTGAGTTAAGAGCAGACATCCGAGAAATTCTCATACGCGCTCCATCTTCGTACCAGTATCAGCTGTATTACATATCCGTCTTGTCTTTTCTCTAAGTATTAGGCACTGACCAGATCCTCTGGTGTGCTCTTCTGCACCATTTACTCTACACTATAATATTCCAACTGATATTACCCAATAGTAAACTGACGAAAAGAAGTATATTAGAGACAGAAGCAATCAAAAATTTATTCACTGGGAATAAATGGACAGAGGAGTAACTGAACATTTTTTTCCGGAAATAAACAGTCTAGTGAATAGTCCGAACATCAAGGAGGATTGGCTCATAAACAGCATCCTGTCTCGGAAGCTGAAATATTTCGGTCACATCAAGCGCCATGACGGTTTTGAAAAAAATTATAGCAGAAGTCATGGTAACGGGAAGGAGAGGCAGGGGCCGACCGACATGAAGATGGGCACAGGATATAAGTGACTCCTCGAGTATGAAAGTACATGAGGCGGGAGAGCTGGCGAGAGACCGAGTTTTTTTCAGGCGGACCGTGATGAGAGCGATGTTCTGCAAAGGACCTGCTACATGATGATGAGTCTAGTAATAATTAAGTGATAATAAATTAACAAACAGCATTATCTTAATAATATCCTCCTCCAGGATGTGGAGTCATACACTTATTAGGCAGTAATGTAATTAAAGAGAAGGGAACTGATAGAGATATTAAAATATGAATACAAAAGGCAAGAGGAACTTTCATAGCACTAGGAAATTTGCAGGGGTCAAAAGAAAATAATACTAATACTAAACTTACAGTTTTTAATTCTACCGTCAAATTAGTTCTGTTGTATGGAGCGGAAACATGGAGAACAACTAAGGCAATTACTAATAAACTACAAACATTCATAAACTGGTGCCTGTGCAGAATAGAGAGAATTAAAGTGTATGATAGAATCACTAGAGTAGAGCTTGTGGATCAAGAGGTGAAGAAAAGATGCTGGTATTGGATAGGACACATCCTGAGAACAATATTACTAGAAAGTCTATGCACTGGAACCCACATGGGCAAAGAAATGAAGGAAGATAAAAAAAAATAAACACTGAGGAAAGCTAGAGAGTGAAGTTAAAGAAAAGATTGGGATGACTGGGGAGAGCTGCATGCAAAAGCAAAGGATAGAACGATTTGACGTGAGTTGGTTGAAGGCCTTTGCTCCACTGGGGGGTTAGAAGGTAGAAGAAAAAGAAGAATTAATCTAATACTAGCTCACTGAAATTCTGGTTAAAAGCCACAATAATCAAGTACTAACAAACTGTTTTTGACATAGACAAATAAGACACTGACCGATACATTAGCGCTGGTGGCACTAACTTCCATCAGGCTCCTGGTCTTGCGAGCCTTAGCCTGGTCCACGTAGGGAGCAACCAGGACCTCAACCATGACGTTTCCTTTGTAAAGTTTCTTGAGCTCTTCTGTGATCTGTTGCAGGCAGAGGCAGATTACATTGGATTTATTACCACAACAGAAGAGCAAAAGCAAATACTGACAAAATAAACAATTGAAGCGCCGCCAAGCATCATGTCAAAAAACTCCCTTTGAGTATTTTGTTGAAGTCTGTTGGTTTTGAAACTACACCTATGATTTTTGAAATTTCTTCTTCTTCTTGCGTTCACTTGAATAGATTATCTATATCTGCAATGCTGACTCTATTAGGAATTTCAGTCTTTATCATAAAGTTTGGCTTGTACCGATGTTTCTCTTGGCCAAAAGTTTTGACTTGATATGTTGTATTTGGAACAGTCTTGGAGGACGTGATCTGTTGTCTCAGATTTTGAAAGAAACAGAAACCCCTATAACCATGTGAAAGAAACATTAACAACCTAGGTACAAATCATGAAAATTACCCATTTTGTCAGTCACAAGATTTCGTAAGGGATTTCCAGGGACACTTCTATAGTCTAGGGGTGTCATGTGTTCCCCATTTTAATGTTTTAAGCACATCCACCACCAACAAATGGAAAAATAACCTTCCCCTGCTCCCTTCATCCTTGCACACAGGAGCCTCCGGTACATGAGACCTACTCACAACAACAACATATTCCAGAAACAACAGTTGTTCACAGAGAAGACAGTTGCGAAAAAAAGCTGCGCAATTTTGTCTGGGAGACAGTGTGTCGACGGCGTTGAACGAACTCAAGCCACTTTTCGACATGCTGTGTATAGGCGAAGAAGGAAGACATAACACCCCTAGAAGATAGGACAGCCCGCAGGAACTGCTAAGAAATCGCACGGCCGACAAGATGGGATGTCTTTGTTGGCAAATATTCTGAGTTATCACACACACAAACCAGCCAATGCTCACCTGGTTGAGGTGTTCGGTGATGATCCTCTGAGCATCCTTAGCCTGCTGTGAGTTGACACCATGTTCCTGGCCCACATCGCGCAATCCAGTCAAGGTGAAGGACAAAAGGTCAGGAGTCTTGGTATTCAAGCTACCTGCATTCTTTTTAAACTGACAGGGGGAGGGAGAGAGAGAGAGAAAACAGCTGTTGAAATATTTTGCTTCTTCAGTCTGTTACCAAAACCCTCACCATCACAGGAGATGAAACCTTGTGTCCCATCACCATAGTATTACTTCTGTTTCTTTTTCCACACCAGGTTAAAAGGAGCTCCCAGGTAACTGAGATGTTAAGTAAGTTGTCTGCTGCTTCTTCTTCTTCTCGATCACCGGCTGTAAACACCAGCGGAAGATCTGGGTATTTGTCCACCTCCAGATTTTAGTCTTGTTCTAGAACCAGTGTTGGGTGCACATCTGTTTCACTTATCTGGTTTACTTATATGCAGACTCTTGGTCCCTTGCCTCTCAGGCAGACATACTCCAACTTCAAAAGTCCCCCCCCCCCCTCCCCCCTCCAGTTAGTCGCCTCCTGTGACATGCTTGGTGGAGACGCAGTGGGTCTATTCTCACCTCAATGAGGCCTCAGAACACACACATGAGGATTCCTTTTCCATAAACCATGCCATTCATTATTGTCATACCTAAGTGATTACGGCATTATATATGACCAAAGTAAGCCTTCTGACTATTACTTTAGCCTTCTAAGTATGGCCTGAATGATTCCATCTTCCCCTCCCAACAATAATTTATAAAAGAAGCATGATCATTATGATGACACAATGAACCATTCTGTAGTTAAGACATAAATCCGACCAAATCTGAGTATTATTTACACAAAGAAAATATTATAACTTTCCATATCAACCAACAGGTTCTTGACAAAACATCACTCTATTTACAGCAGGCTTGAAAGTCACTCTGTCTTTAGCCAAGACTCCACCTCTATGTGCTTTCACGGCCAATGCATCTTCAACGTCTCCACTTTGCGGAGGTCGACCTCTGCCCTTTTGTTCTTTCTGAAAACTACCATCTACAACCATTTTTTTCCGGGCAACCATGCCATATAATATGGCTGAAACACCTCAGTGTTCTGGACAGGATTCTGTTTATGAGCCAGTTCTCCTCAAAGTGCACATCATGTCTGATGTCAATGTTTTTCTTCTTCTTGGTTCATGGTATTCTCATCAAAGTGCACTTCATGTCTGATGTCAATGTTTTTCTTCTTCTTAGTTCATGGTATTCTCCTCAAAGTGCACATCATGTCTGATGTCAATGTTTTTCTTCTTCTTGGTTCATGGTATTCTAAGAATTTTCTGTAGCTATAACAATATTAAACTCTAAAAACAAACCAAGTTAAATAAAAGAAATAAATGTCTTACAGTTCTAATGGTATCGTCAACCATCTGCATCTCGGCCAACAACCCCCTGTCTGCCGATACGCTTGAATTCAAGGAGCTGCCTTGAGAAGCTGACAGACGGTTCAAGATAGAGTCTGGATGTAACAATCGCTCCAGTGCATGATCAAACGATGATGGAAGTGACTGGAATAATGCTGAGCTGGTTTTGATGTCAAAGAACTGCAGAGAAAGCAATAAAATGCAGACTATAAAGATAACTTTGCTTTTAAAACTGAGATGTCAGAATTTGCTTTCGGGGCAACCAAGTGCCTAATCATACATTCAGGCTGGCAGCAGACATAAATTTTCTGTTATGAATATAATGGTTTTGTCTCTGCAAACCTGATGGCGTACTTATCACTCATCTAATTCCCATGTAATGTTTTCTTCTTCTTCTACACATTCACTGGCTGTAAACTCTGATGGAACATCATGGTTGTTCATCAACTTGTGCACTTAAGTCTTGTTCCAGACCCTGAGTTTTGCGTACACATCTCTTTCACATATGAACATTAACATCTACTTAGGCCTAAGAGGCAGGGCTTATAAAGGCATAGGACAGGAAGGACAACTATGAGATCAGCATAATTCTTATAAAAAGTGAGATTATTGGAATTACTTGTGCCAAATGAATGCATGGGAAGTGAGATTTTTGGAATTACGTGTGCCAAATGAATGCATAAGAGGAATGGTGAAAGAACCAAACTTCATTCTGTGTTTGGTGCTGGGAAGAGGAGCATGGAAGAGTGAATGCAAGTGAAGCTGAAGACTGAGTCTGCCCAAGCAACCTGCAAAGGCCATTGTTATCTGGCCACTGTGTTTGTCAAGATGGATGACAGCATGAAGACTGCTAGCTGTTTCATCTAAGGTGTCTGTGTGAAGCTGGGTGCCAGCGATTGTTTATAAACATTAGTATGCATGCAGAATGGTTAACTCGTGAGTATTAACTTAGTGTGTTACTACATCTGAGCTGAGTGCTTGCCAGTCATACCTTTCACACCCTAGACAAAACCAAGTAGTGACAGAGGGCCGGCAATGCAGCCCAGAACAGATATTTAAGCTACTGTTGTATGTCAAGCTCTGTGTTCCAGCATCTATTGTTGACTTCTATGTGTAGTTAAAGACACCATTGCTGTATACTAGGACAATCAGTCCCAATCCTCTGCAATGTTAATGAGCCACTATTAAGAAGCAGGTAATGGAAGCTCATCAGGAGTCATGGAGGCACAGGAACAAACACATAGAGAATCACAGAAGTATGAAGGCATTTGGTAAAGCTAAGCCACAAACTTTGAATCATGACGGAGGCTGGACTTTTTTCAAAAATGACCTTGGCTCCCAAGTCGACCCAGCCTTGAGTGGGCACCAGGTACTGTCCTGGTAAGCAAAGGTGGCCAGCGTGATGCTGACCACATCACCCTTCAACTGTCATGTGGTCTAAAAATATAGGTGCATTCACCCAATATGCCTGGAGGCACGGGAAAAGGGTCCTTTACTTACTTTTACAAACTTTGAAGCTGAGCCCTGTAACATAAGCTTGTGTAGAAAGTAGAGGATGCTTGTATGCAAACATCACCTTACCCCCAGGCATAGTGACTGGCACCTTTCCGTCTTTCAAGCCGATAGTGTTATATTGCGCTATGACCATTGTTGCCAACATTTGTGTTCAATCCGTTTTTTTCTCAGACTCTCAGATCTCATCTTTTCTGCAATTATTTCTTCCTTTACTCTCATTTCCTTTCTGATATGCCCCTTCACACAACATGGCCCATGGCATTTTGCTCCCATGAGTCCACCTCAGTACCTGTAACATTCATGTCCCGCTGGCATACATCTTTATACTGTAGTAGAGGTCGGCCTCGGCATCTTTATACTGTAGTAGAGGTTGGCCTCAACATCTTCTACCCGTCTTTAATTCACCATTAGGCATAGTGATCTCACTAAATGATATAACCAGTTAAGGTGGGGAGGATTACCTGGTTGCTGGACATCAAGTCAAGCATGACAGGCTCCTTGTCCAAAAATTTACTCTGTACATTGTTCATTAGGTTCTCAATATCCACATATGGAACATCCTGAAACAGAGAACACATATACATCGTTAATACAATCCCTGGGCAGTGAAATACTTATCATGAATAAAGTTCCTGGAATACAAAATAAACACATACACATATTACTAAACAGTTCTGGGAATACAAAATACACACACATACACATATCACTAATACAGTTCTGGGAATACAAAATACACACACACACACATATCACTAATACAGTTCTGGTAATACAAAATACACACACATATTACTAATACAGTTCTGGAAAAAACAAAATACACACACACATATTACTAATACAGTTCTGGAAAAAACAAAATACACACACATATTACTAATACAGTTCTGGAAAAAACAAAATACACACACATATTACTAATACAGTTCTGGAAAAAACAAAATACACACACATATTACTAATACAGTTCTGGAAAAAACAAAATACACACACATATTACTAATAAGTTCAGTGAATACAAAATACACACACACATATTACTAATACAGTTCAGTGAATACAAAATACACACACACATATTACTAACACAGTTCCATGAATACAAAATACACACACACATATTACTAACACAGTTCTGGGAATAAAAAATAAACACACACATATTACAATAGAGTTCTTGGAATACAAAACACACACATCACTAATGCAGTTCTTGGAATACACACACACTCATCACTAGTGGAGTTCTGGGAATACAAAATAAACACACACACATATTACTAATAGAGTTTTGTGAATACAAAATTCACACACACATATTACTAATAGAGTTCTGGGAATACAAAATAAACACACACACATATTACTAATAGAGTTCTGGGAATACAAAATAAACACACACACATATTACTAATAGAGTTCTGGGAATACAAAATACACACACACATATTACTAATAGAGTTCTGGGAATACAAAATAAACACACACACACATATTACTAATAAGAGTTCTGGGAATACAAAATACACACACACACACGCATTACTAATACAGTTCTGGGAATACAAAATAAACACACACACATATTACTAATAAGAGTTCTGGGAATACAAAATAAACACACACACATATTACTAATAAGAGTTCTGGGAATACAAAATAAACACACACACATATTACTAATACAGTTCTGGGAATACAAAATAAACACACACACATATTACTAATACAGTTCTGGGAATACAAAATAAACACACACACATATTACTAATACAGTTCTGGGAACAGATAAAACTAAATTCAATAGCCTGGCTTTACCAGGGATATTTAAGGAAAATGTTATTTTCCTGTCTTCTACTTTTTTCTTCAACTCCACCGCTGCCTTATGTTTATTCAGTGACGAAGATACTGCCCCTTTTGGGAAACAATGATACAGCCACTTTGCTATCATGGCTTCCACTGCTAAAAGAAAACAGTTACTGTCCACTCTCCCTACAGACTCCAAACTGTTCCTCCCCATGACGCTTAATGGTAAAAGTGGAAACTGATGATGATGACAGTGAGGCAAAACTTCCTAGATTGTCTGACACAGACACAGTGAATTAGGCCTGCTCACAACAGGCAGCAAGAGACAATGAATCCCTGGAGACTGAACAGCAGTCTATGGCAACACATGTTAACATTTCCACTACGTTTTGTACTTTATACCCATTTTGGAATTTCTACTGCAGCAAGGAAATATACCCACAACCATTAATGGCCCAATTTATAGAGGAGAAAACAGACACCCCTCACCCCCAATGTCATAAACATGACCAATTCAAGATCTGCTGAAATTTGATGTGTTGGGCCAAAAGGTGCAAATATCACAGTCTAGCTGGAAACTTCAATGCAGCGTGCCAATCCATCTGCATTTTAAAGGGCAAACCCAAAAGAGGAAGCAGTAGCAAAAGACAGCCATCAATCGCTGAGGTTCAGTTTCCAATGACATGTTTTATTGACCAACCATGAGTAAGCAACTTGAAGCAATGTGACTGAGATTTGGCACAATACTACATCACCCCAAGGTTCAGCACAACAGGCTATGAATAAATTCATCGTTTGGAAGCACATAAAACTAATGACACTACCTTCTTCTCTTGTTCTACTGCTTAAGCCCTAAAGTACTGCAGAGGAGTTAGATTTAGTTTCCTGTCTTTAGCTAACTGCACAGCTTGTGTTAATTTGCCTGTAGTGTCTCTTTTACTTCCTCCACCCATGTCTTTCTTGGTAAACCTCTTGCCATGCAGCCTGCTGTTCTCATCAGTATGTTCTAGCTGCTGGCTGGTTTTGTTCTATTCTCATCTGAAAACCGAACCATTTGATTTTTGATATTCTATGAAGTCATATACCCTACTAATGACAGTGAAATCACCATACTTACCCACTCAACCGGAAAACTGGCCACACTGTCAATGGGCAAAACTTGGTCTTTGTGAGTGACCACTGTAAACAGAACATTGGCTTTGGGTCTCTTCAGTACAGACTTGGACTGGAGGATTGACTTCTGTAATGAGGGAACAAGTTAAACAAAAAATAAGTATACAGTAAAAGTATGCACAATATAAGAAAGGGGAAAAGGTAGCATAATATAGACTTAACCATTCAGATTTAGTGCTAGGGAGATGTAAAATATTACCACTATATAGTAGGTAATATAGAAAGATTCTCAGAATATCTTGGACAAAGAAGATAAGAAATGTTGACATCTTAAAAGATCTGAACATCAAGGAAGATAAACAGCTTAGTGAAAACATTGTGTCTCTAGCCAACTGTTGACATATGAAACAGCAAATATTCTAGAAAAGCTGCACTTGCAAAGATTCGATCAACTCGGTGTCATTCTTTACAGCATTTAACAGTTAGTTTAAGAACACATTTTAGACAGGTGATATTTGCAAAATGTAATGTCAGTTATATAGCTCTGAACAAATCATGAATATACCCCAGACAGGTGATATTTGCAAAATGTAATGTCAGTTTTATAGCTCTGAACAACTCATGAACATACCCCAGACAGGTGACATTTGAAAAATGTAATGTCAGTTTTATAGCTCTGAACAACTCATGAACATACCCCAGACAGGTGATAGTTGAAAAATGTAATGTCAGTTTTATAGCTCTGAACAAATCATGAACATACCCCAGACAGGTGATATTTGCAAAATTCAATGTCAGTTATATAGCTCTGAACAAATTATGAACATACCCCAGACAGGTGATATTTGAAAAATGTAATGTCAGTTATATAGCTCTGAACAAATCATGAATATACCCCAGACAGGTGATATTTGAAAAATGTAATGTCAGTTTTATAGCTCTGAACAACTCATGAACATACCCCAGACAGGTGACATTTGAAAAATGTAATGTCAGTTTTATAGCTCTGAACAACTCATGAACATACCCCAGACAGGTGACATTTGAAAAATGTAATGTCAGTTATATAGCCCTGAACAAATCATGAACATACCCCAGACAGGTGATATTTGCAAAATGTAATGTCAGTTTTATAGCTCTGAACAACTCATGAACATACCCCAGACAGGTGACATTTGAAAAATGTAATGTCAGTTATATAGCTCTGAACAAATCATGAACATACCCCAGACAGGTGATATTTGAAAAATGCAATGTCAGTTATATAGCTCTGAAAAAATCATGAACATACCCCAGACAGGTGATATTTGCAAAATTCAATGTCAGTTTTATAGCCGGAACAACTCATGAACATGCTCCAGACAGATGAACCTTTTAAAGTTCTACTGCTAACTAACCTTATTACTCAGACCCAAAGGGCCAGCCAGAACATTGTGAAGGTCACTGGAACTGACAGGTGAATCAGGTGTCTGGCGCTGGACACTGATGTACGAAGGTAGATGTTTCACGTACAGCTGTTGCCCACCACATAAATGGCCTGCCAATAACAAACAAAACTCAGTAAATACATGTCACTTACTGTGTGACAAACACTGAAGACAAAACTGAAGCTGAACATTGTCCAAATTATGGCAAATATACAAAATTTGGTTTTTCGACTTCACCAGAGAAGGACATTTTTTTTTTTTTTAAATTTCAATTTTTAAATAAAAAAAAAAAAAACATGCTGAATCTTAAATGTGAACTGACCCTCTTACCTATTTAGATTAGGAACTTTCACAATCAACCAATAAAATATTTGAAGGCAATGGCACTAGTCATAATTTATCTTTACTAAAAAATACTAAGACATAGTACACTTCTTCTTCTTCTCTTCCACCTTGTACCTAATCGAAGTGTCAGGGGGGGGGGGGGGGGGGGGGGGGAGAGGCAATGTTTGTTGATGAGCTCAGTCAAGACCACTATAAAGACTGATGTTCATTTCTGTAAGACTGTTCTTAATGCCGTCACTCCATATTTTCCGAGGTCTTCCACTCGCTCTATACCCGTTGTAACGTTTTAGTGTGGCTCGTTGTGGCGGATAGTCCCAGGGCATTCTTGTTAGGTGTCCAAACCACTTCATTTGTTGTTCTTTGATGACTGTAAGACTGGCTTTATTCATAGCATTCGTCTGATTTCATGATTTCGTATTCTGTATTTCCTTGAAACTCCTGCAGCTCTTCTAAGGCATTTCATCTCTGTTGTCACAATTTTACGTTCATTGGAGGATTTAAGTGTCCACGTTTGGCATTGATAGCATAGTGTTGGCCAAAAAATAGTTCTGATAAGATTCACTTTAGTACTCCGAGGTATCTGCTTGTGTGTCAACAGGGGAGACAGTTGACCCATTACTTGATTAGCTTTGGCACATCTGGAGCTAATTTCTCTGTCCAGTTTTCCGTCTGATGTAAAAATTGCTCCCAAATAGTTAAATTCCTCTGTTTGTCTCAGGGTGTTGTTTTTTAAATTTAATTTCTAAATTGTCTTTAAGACAGTACACTGTGTCTGTATAGTCATGCTGCACTCTTGACTGGTCACATAAAAGCAAAAAAAAAAAAAAAAAAAAAAAAAAAAAATAGAATATGAAATCTGCACCAAATAATAGGAAAACAAGTTTCGTAGTCTGATGTGCAAGCGTTTGCGCACACAGGTGATGACACAACACCAAGAACTGCGCTCAAAGGGTGTGAAACTTGGAGATTTTCCTTTCATTTGGAGAAGATTTCACATTTCTATCTTGTTTCGTTGATTTCCTGTGACCTGTGAAAAGTGCACCATGACTTTACAGACACACAGTATATTCTATGGTTGGAAACACCTTTCCAATTCAGTAAGTTATATTTCTTTTGCTTTATTTAATGAAAGAGAAGATCTATGAAATTTCTTCATCAAATCTTTTTCTTTAGTATTCCGAGCCCTTGAGGTTCCATGCTGCAGATATCGCTCACCTCCATTCATCTCTCTGGTTGGCCTTCTCTTTCCAGTTGGTGACACCAAGTGTTTGTAGGTTTATCTGGATATTATCTCTCCATCATCTTCTTGGTCTGCTTTGTGGTCTACGACCATTTATCTCCCTTGTGTATACAGTTTTTACCTCTCTGTCATCTGACATCCTTCAATATGCTCCAACCATTTCAATCTATAAGCTCATGATGCCAGTGATCAATGGTGATTTAAACATATAATGAATTTCGTTATTGCTTCTAACTCTCCATTCCCTGCTGTTTGCATCTTTGATGGGTCCAAAGATTCGTCGTAAGACTTTGTTTTTAAAAACCTGTAAAAAGACTTCATCTCTTTTAGTTGTGTTCCAAGTTTCAGAGCCATATAAAATGATTGGTCTTATTAACATTTTATATACTGTGATCTTGGTGTTGCGAGACAGACACTTTGACTTTAGCAGATTTTTAAGGGCATAGTATACTTTATTTCCAGATTGTATTATAGATAGTATTTACTTCATCAGATCAGCTACTTGAATTGTAATAATCAGTATACTATTATTTTTCTCTGTGTCTCTCACTAAGTGTTACCTAGTGAGAGGATCTTATTAATATTACTTTCTGAATTTGCAAGAGGCACCCATTAAAGGAAAATCTTATAACTGAGAGTAGCTATAACTGATTTTTAAAGATTGACTTTGTGTGTACACTGCTGTATAATGCATTAAAGGCCACATAAATTAACTAATCTAAAATTTTATTTGACCAATTTATTTAGCTCTTGACTCTCATTTTATCAAACTGAAAAATGTGTGCAACTGTGCTAAGTACTCCACTGCTCCTACCTAGCTAAGGACAAAGTGACATTACAACGGTCAATTCAAGAAGAGAATGGCTTTTACAAATTTCATGAATTGCAATCAGTTCAGTATCTTATATACTCAGATAGAGGAAACAGCAAACATGAGTCAAATACAAAAGTCTGAGTTACCTAAAGCTGCCAAAATGAGAAGATAGGTAGCCAAGCTGTAAATTTCTGCTGCCATTTTGTCAGACACAGGATTATCACATGATGATAGGAACCACACAAACATCCGGTCTCTGCCGGATGCGGTGATTACTTACAAAGCATACCGAGTTAGTTTTGTCATGTTCAAATGTAACAGTTGTTTTATCTCTAGTGCACTCCGGACACGTCCAGGGTTGCTCAGATCCCCTACTCAACATTAAGCGTGCTAAGATTAATTGTCCCAGTCCCCTCCAGTTGACAAGACTTCTCGTCCGTCTGGTGAGCTTCTCTTGTCAAATTATCGCGTTCTTAGCAGAAATATGGACGCGCTGCCCTCTAAGTCTAGTGATCGTCTCATCTCTCTCTCTCTCCCTCTCTCTCTCTCTCTCTCTCTCTCTCTCTCTCTCTCTCTTTCTCTCTCTAAGAACATCAATGTCAACGCGATCCATAGGCCAGTCATCTGCAAGAATGGAAAAAAGCCTCCAATCTATAAGCTTTCCATTAGGGTTCTAAATAATTACCAACAATAACTAGTTATTATGTCACTTGTTACTTGTCCGTACTACATCTTAGAACACCGGCCCGACCCATGCGTGCTCAGTCCTTCGATGCAGAGGCATCTCAGTGTCCTCATCCTCAAAGTACTCAGTATGAATTGACTGGCATCTCCTCTTTCTATACCATTAAATCCCCGTATGTGTCCTGGTGGCCTATTGTCAGGAGATTGGGTGGGTGGGGGGGGGGGGGTTTCCTTTGAAGTCAGAATGCATGATGTGTACACAAAACTAAAATTATGGAACAAGCTCAGGAAACACAACTAGAACTTTCCGCTGGGGTATACTGGTAGTCTGGTAGTCCTAGTTGCAGCTTCATAACAAACGGGTCACCCCATCTTTGCACCGCTTCCGTGCCAACGAAAAACACACAGAATGTTTATCACAGTCCCTTGTGGAAAGATTTACAGACTGCTGTCTCAGCATATCTAGCATACACTCGCATTAAAGCATGTGGTAGCCATCCGAAGTGCTAACACAAACAGTCCGACATTAGAAATGCAGTTCATCATTGATGGTAGCAGAAGTCACCAACAGATTTGCAGTTGCCCACGCGATCAATTTTAATCACATAATGGCACCACTAAAATTGCGACCACAGGCATCATTTCTGAATCTACAATTCACACCACCACGTTGGTCACAGTCGAAAAAACATTCAAAATGAAATCCTCAGCTCACAGTGTCACGCCATGCACACAACTTAGAAGCTGGGTGACGAAACTATATCCAGTCTACAAATGGAACAAAAATGCATCGGCCATCGTCCAGCAGAAGCACCTATGGACATGTCCGGAGTGCAATGATGATAACCCAACTAACTAACTAACTAACTAACTAACTAACTAACTAACTAACTAACTAACTAACTAACTAACTAACTAACTAACTAACTAACTAACTAACTAACTTTTTGTGATATTTATCAGTAAGTCTAAAAAAAAATTGAGATAAAATAAAAGTTGACACCGTAAATCGAAGTCAGCGGCTATGTATAGGGGCAACATCATTTAGGTCAGATGGGGGTGTGCCGTCTTTTGACCTTCTTCAGTCTTCCGTTACAACTTCTATGTAAAAGAAATGTCGTATGCCTTCTCCAAAATGAAGGTTGGCTGCACTAGATCTCCAAAATGCCTTATCAAGCGAACGAGCGTGAAGATGATCTTGCAGACACTGCGGTTGCTATGGCTGGAACCAGTACCGAACATAAGTGATGTGTTATCAATGGCATGCGCAGCACTTACCACGACGACGATCACACCAAAGGGCATGACTCTGTATCCCTGTGTTAAATAATCGTGTATTTTAGACAAAACATTTACGGTCTGCTGTGTTTGTAAATGTTGCTGTGTTTGTTATTCGACCTCTGTTTATTGTGTATTCAACGGATCAACATCATGGAATACGAGTGTAACCCATACGTTCTCCGTTCTTCTTCCAACTCAAGCCTGAGTGAAAATTCTCAGCGCTGTGCATGAACTCTGTTGCACCGGCGAGGATCCTAATACACTGGGTAGATTAATAACTCAAAATTTTGCCCGTTAGGCTGCTCTTTTCGATTTCCAACTGCCAAGGGACTTTTTTTTTAACGTGCGAAACAATACACACGAGCGTCAGGTCTTACTACCAGCGAGAAAAAATCCCAGCCTTCATCGGGGCTTAAACCCGGGACCTCTAGCATTCGAGGCGGACACAATGCCTTTCGACCTATGCTTAGTTAACACGAATTTATGTAACCTATAGTGCCATTTCTTCTTTCTTCTTCTTTGCGTTAACCAGCTGTAAACTCTGGTGGAAAGTTCTCGTTGCTCGTCCACTTCTGGACTGCAGTCATGTTCCAGAACCTGAGTGTTGCGTGTGCATCCGTTTGACAGATCTGGACTCATTTGTGTGCAGACTTGGTTCCTTGCCTCTTAGGCAGATGCACTCCGACTTCCCAATTAGTCGACTCTTACGATGTGCTTTTTGGTAGGCAGGGGGCCCATTCTTGTTT